CTCTCTCTCTCTCTCTCTCTCTCTCTCTCTCTCTCTCTCTCTCTCTCTCTCTCTCTCTCTCTCTCTCTCTCTCTCTCTCTCTCTCTCTCTCTCTCTCTCTCTCTCTCTCTCTCTCTCTGTGTGGAAACCTACTGATGAAGAACTCATGAAGAGAAGGCGGCCACTGTAAGGGATGAAAAACCCTAACTATGATTCCTTGAACAAAAGACAGAAATTTCATGATTCCCATTAATAATAGATAAAAGAAAAGAGAGAAAGAGATGGAAGAAGAAGCATAATAAATTAATTTCAGTACTCAAAAAACGGTAATCATTTTGGATAAGAGCGACAGAAAATTCAATTTCAAGAATCCAAAGAAAAAAAAGAAGGAAAAAAAATGTAAAACTTGTTATTTGTAAAATTTACAGAGAAACCCCAAATTATTGAACCAATTAGCCAAAAAAAAAAAAGAAGGACGAATCAATGGTTTCCCCAAAGTTTTCAAGTGGAGCAATTTCCTCACTAGCTCCACAAAACCGGACTTCATTATCAACAGATTCCTCTAGCTCCAAAAAATCCACCCATTTCAGGACCATTATGTTCTCATACATCTCATCTCTCACAGACCTGTTATTTATGCTCTTCCAATCTACCACCAGGACCTCCATTTAAACTCAACCCTACTTGTAAAAGTAATGTAGTAACCTTCCAACTTGGCTCACAAACCTGTTATCTATGTTCCAACCTTACTTCTACAAGTGATGGCCAGAAATTTATTTTCATTGCTAATTATAAAATTAAGACCTTAAAAAATAGTGTAGATCGAGGATATCTATGAACATTTGAAAATCTTGAAAATTGACCGTCTAGAAAATGTATTAGAAGATGCACTATTTCCAACACTTGAAATCTATTTTTTATCATATCCATACATCTTGAGGTCAAGATGATTGATTTGAGGATTTTTGTGCATCGCAATAACCACTTCTAATGGATTTTTTGATGTGCGATTTGATTGTTTAAGGCCTCATCCTTATATAAACTTTATTCTACAAAATTTATTAAATATATTTTAAAAGATAGAATTTCTGTAAAGCTGCAACCCTATTTATACCCATCTATTTATTTGGACGGTGCAGATTTTACATGCTCCTTACAAAAGAAACGGGGGGTTTGGTTCATATGAAAACATGCATCATGAAACACTTTTCATATGAGACGTGCAGTTACACACGTTTGGTTCATGTATAATGCAGGTGAAAACTTGTCCCATATGAAAAAACGTTTACCACTACAAAGAGCAAATCATGTGGAGAAGAAATCCCCACCCCAGAAAGTGGGGAGTAAGTTCCTGAGGATCCATTGCTCGAGCAGATTAGAAAAAAAAAAATTTCCAGTTAACTGCACAACGCTGAAACCACAAAAAATAACGTAAAAGAATAAACCGTAGCCCTTGTCTCTCAAAGCCCTACCTTCAGCCCTTGTCTCTCAAAGCCCTACCTTCACAAAGGAGAACTTTTGATACATTCAAAGCCTGCATCTGTTATTATGTCGGCTTGGAGATCAATACCAAAAAGTAGCATTTTTAGTTTTTAAAACTTATTTATTTTCACAAATTAATAATATTAATCTATATATATTAAAGATTAAGAAAATTGTCTCATGTGGCGGGGGCCACATTCCTACATTTGCGGTCCCATGCTGCAAAGCATCCATCCTAAAAATGAATACAAATAGGTAATTCATCTAAAAATGATTGAAACTACGATCCAAGTATTTTTTTAATAAAAGTATTATTTTTAATTTTAAAAATTTATTTATTTATTCATATTCATGATCTCCATGTTAGAGATTACATGTCCTTAAAAATTAGATAAAAAAATCCATCTAAAAATTAGATTTTTAAAAAGTGATTCATTTCTACATGGACTAATAGAACTTTTGTCCTAAAAATTATATATTCCCTCAAAATTAGGAGGAAGAAGTTTACTTAAGGTTGCAACCTTAGAATGTAGAATTACTTGTACACCTAAAAAATTCATCAGAAAAAGGTTGTTTTAATGTTGAAAAACCATCTAATTGATCATTTCAACAACGAGATTTATGAATATGACAAAAAAATATTTTGAGTCCCATAAATAATTCATTTGCAACACATTATCTAAACCGTCTATTTTCAAAATTTTCATATATTTATAGATTTACTTGATTTTAACTATTTATAAAATTTAAAATTTTATAATTATATATAAAAATAAATTTTGAGAACGTCTGAAGAATTTTTTACACCAAAATTAGATAAAAATTGGAAGTGCATCTTAATTGGATTGCTTAATGTTGCAACCTTACATGAACCACACCCAAATTAGAATTAAATTATATTTCAAAAATAAATCATTTAGGGCCTCTTCTACACGTGAGTCGGTGGACTCATAGAAACCGTGTCCTCTCTCTAAACCTTCGCCCCTCTCTCGCAAAGCCTTCCTCGCCATTCTCTCTCAACACTGTGTCCTCTCTCACAGAGCCACAATCGAGGATCAAGCTTTCATCTTCTTCAACAAGGTAAGGTTATTTCTTTATTTTATTATTTTTTTGCTTGTTTTTCTTCATCATAGTGTAAGGATTCTTCACCAAACAAGATCGCGTTTTGCTCATACCAACCCCATACAAAATACCTCATCTTATTCAACAATGGTATGGATTTTATTCCTGTGATTTTCATGGTTTTTCCCTCTAGATGGTGCTGATTTTGTTGTTACCAATGCAAACATTTTTATTTCTCTGACTTCCCGGTGGAATTTTTTTGCTTTTTTATTTTTGGCTTATTTTATTTAGTATAAAAGCACAACTTGTACTGCAGAGAAATATGGATATGGGCTTTTTTTGTTGTTGTTCTTTTCTGGTTTTTTTAATTTTTTGTATCGTTATTTCTTTCTGGTTTTTTGATGCTATATGTAAGCTATTTTGTGATTTTTTAAAGTACGTTGATTTTTTTTTTTTCAAATTTATCCTGAAACTAGAAAGAACGGAGTCTGGTTGACTCTCAAAACTATCAAATGAAGCCTCCAAGTGATTCCAAAATTAAAATAATGGATGCGTATGCATAAATCTATTTCATCAGCTTAGATTTTAGTAAGTATTTGGTAAGCAGTGACATTGGGGAAGTAATAAACTGTCACAAGTAAATATTAGATCATAGCGGGGGTTGCAATCTGGGTTGTTTACGGTTTGAAACTCTATAACATTTTGTAAAATATCATTGATTGAAAGACTTGTCATTAATGAGCCATGCTTGAGCGCTTTCACTACAAGGGTATTGAGAAATGAAGCCACCATTATATCCTAAAACTAGAAAAGATTCTACTCAAATGCTTCATGAGTAAACTTCCCATGAATTTGGAAGCTATGTTTTGAATGCTTTTCTCTTTATTAGAATATGGATTATTTTCCACTTCTTTTCTGCTGATATACTTTCTGATTATGATCTCATATTAAGCAGTTTGATAGTGACATAGTTATGTATCTTGGTTAGATATCGATGCCCTGTTTTCATATCTTTATAACTCCAATGCTTATTGAAGGACATAACTTAGTTATGCAATGCTGGTTTTTAATTTTTAGAAATCTATCTAAATTCGTGAAATAATTTTAGTTAAATGTTTTAAAAAAATCATCTTAATGGGATGGATGTCGATATCAAATCAACTATATTGCAAATGAACGGTTAAAAATAGGTAGTAATCCAGATTCTGGGAGATAGTTTACCTATGGGTTACCAAACATAAGAAACTCGGTACACAGGAATTCCAAACATGTGAACCAAACATGGGAACAAACAGGATTGGAAAACTATTGCACAGGGAACTGTTTTACATTTGCAAACTGTTATGCATGAACCAAACGAGCCCTAAACTATTTCCACCCAAATCTTTGCTCTCTCTACACTCACCTTTCTCTCCCCCTAATGTTTCCACATCGACCCTCTACCTTTTTACATTCCAAAATAGAAAAGGATTCCATCGCCGTTAAGAAGCTCGACTACATCAACCCTCCTTTTTTTTTTTTGAAGAACAATAATACTTTATTTCATCTCATGCAATGCAATTACAGTATACAAAGGACCATAAAAATCCAGAAAAACAGAAAACACCAGAATCAAACATAAAAAAACTAAAATCAGGAGAAAGCATTACGCAACCACTAAAGCTTCCACTCACCCCAGCTTTAGCTAATTCATCAGCCTCCATGTTACACTCTCTAAAGACATGTGCAAAAGAGCAAACCATAGTTGCACAAACATCAATTACCACACACATCAGTTCACGAAAGCTCCAGGGAAAACCAAACTTCTTTTGCATCCAGTTAATAATATTTAATGAATCACCTTCCACATTAACTAGTTTATTTAAATCTTTAGTCAACTTCAAACCTTGAAGCATAGCACGCAACTCTGTTTCATTCGCTCCCACAGGTCCATAATATTTCAGTAACATTACTCCATTGCTGTCACGAATGATACCTCCAATACCAGCAAGCCCCTGATTCCCCAATGAACTTCGATCAAAATTAAGTTTTAACCATCCATCAATTGGCACTTTCCAAATCCCAATTCTCACTTTCTTGGCAGTACTTCATCTATAAGCAAATGAAGATTATACATCGAATCTAAACTTGAAACACCCCTCCATTTCACCTGGACAGTTAAATATTCAACAACTAGAATACAAATTTTCTCTTGTTGTTCAAGAATAGATCGCCCATGATTCTCAAAGCATCTACGATTTCATTCGTTCCGTAGTTTCCATAATGCAAAAGCTTTCACAATTCTCCATATAGTTCTACCCTTCATACCCATACCTGTTATCAAACAGTTACTGCTAAAAACATGATTAAACTGCAAAGGCTGATCAATATTTTTTCCAATCCAATCAAGACACCTTGACCAAACAGTTCGAACATAAGTACAATTAAAGAATAAATGGTCAACATATTCTCTACCTTTAAGTCGTGTTAAAAGCAGATTTTGGAGTGCTTCTTTAGTTTTGCTCACCTTTTCTATATCGTAGATTGATGGAGAACTTGTTTTTGCTTAAATATATTAAAAATTATCTGCTATTTACAGTAGTTATTATGGAACCTTCCAAGTTTCTTTTGGTTCTCCTAATATGGTAGCGAGAAGCTCCTTTTGGTTCTCTTAATATGGTAGAGAGAAAAAGTAAGTAGGGGTCACTGGAAAGTCTTTCATTCTTCCATGGCCATTGGCCCTTTTACCTCTCAACCATTGAGCAGCAATAGATTGCAATGTGCTGAAGCTAGGTGCTCCGTTGCCCTCATCTTCCCTATTGGTGCTCCGAAATTAGGAGCTCAACGCAATATGTTGTGTTCCTCTTTTTTTTGTTTTGAAGCTCAAAGAAAATAATCCCTATCTGTACAAGAGATTTTTGTTTTGATTTAGGTTCTTTTTTTTTCTGATTAAGCTCAAACAAGATTAACCCTAAAACAGAGAGCATTTATATTTATTTTCCATTTTTTTTTTTTGGTTATGCTCGAAGAAGGAAAACCCCATATTTAGATAGTTTATTTGTCTAGGGTTTATTTTTCTGGTTAAGCTCAAGGAAAAAGAACCCCCTAAATATACAAAAAGTTTTTTTTTTTTTAGGTTTCTTTTTCTTTCTGTTTAATTTCAAAGAACGATTTTTTTCCTTGCTTTACTGTTGGTTTTTTGGTTTGCAAACCGTGGTTCATTACTGGACTTTTTATTTCTTGCTCGTTATATGGTTTATACCGTTTTTCTTGCTGGTTGTATGAGTTTATTTATTTTTTCTTGCTTGATTTTTGCTATGTATTGTGAACGGTTCCCTGGTTCATTGCTACGTTTTTCATTTTTTTCTTGCTTGTTACATGGTTTTTTTTCCTTTCTTGCTGGCTATACGAGTTTAATTTAGGGAAAATTTCGTATAGAACCCTAATTCCTCATATTATTTCATGGTAGACCCTCATTCCTTTTTGCTTTCAAGGGGTATAAGGAAACCCCCAAAGATTTCACCGTACCCCCTCATCTCTTATCTCCCTCTTTTATTGACTTTTGACCATAAAAATTAGCCCCAACAAATCTTTTTATACCATTTCAACCCAAAATTTCTTTTAACCCTCTTTTCCCTTTTGCACCCAT